GAAGCGCGAGGCCGCCGCCTCCCGGCTCCAGCCGTGCCTCTGACTGCCTGCACCTCCCCACAGTCCCCACCCCGGACTCCTTGCGCCCTCCCGTTCCCCTGGCAACGGCCGGTGACCTCACTGGGGTTGTAAGCCGAGCCCAGAGTGAAGTCACCGCTGTTGCTATGGGGACTCAGTGGTCGCCAAGGAGTTCGGGGAGGGGGGGGCGGCAAGGGATGGGGGCGGGGGAAATAGTATTTGAAGGCGACTTGAGGAAAACGGGAAAAACTGAGGCTCAGCCAGGCAAGGAACGGCGGAGACCTGAAAGGGATGGGAAGGGGACGCCGAGGGGGAGGGGCGAGCGGGGCCCCCGAACCAAGGCGGTGGAAGCCCCGTCCTAAGCCAGCCGGCCCAGGCCCCTCCAGCCCGAGATCGGCCCTCCACGAGTCTGCCTTGAAGATGCAGAGCCCCATCCTAGCTCCAGTTCTCCTGCCAACTCCCTGGCACCTTGGACAGATCCCCTGACCCTTCAGGCCCCTCATCAGTTGAGTGGGGACAACACTACTGCCTCCCAACCTCCAAGAGAGCTGAGTACTCACTGGAACGTGTGTGAAGCCCGCTGGAGCTTGTCTGAGGCCCCTCAGGGGCACACCTCTGGCCAGTAGTGCCTGGGGGCCCTGCCTAGCTGGGGGGCAACCCTCTCCAAGGCTCTGCTAGTGCAGCTGGGGGAGAGGGCAGGGTGAGAGTCCAGAACAGGTGCCTGACCTTTGAGAAGCTAAGTCAGGGCCCTGAGACCATTCCCCAAATCTAGAGGCCTCTGCCTCTTCCTGGCCTGGCCGGAGAGTGGAAGGTTGGGGTACTGGGGACTAGGGGGTTATCCACACCCCTTGGTTTCCTCTTGCCTGGCAGAGCTTACTGAGTCTCTGGGGGTAGCAGGAGGTCAACACAGAGACAGGCACCCCCTCCCCAAGGCATAATGCATGCTCCTATGGTAACCACTCTCCTGACACCATATCTGGCTACCTGCCCTCTTGGGGGCTCAGAGGAGCTCTGGGCTCTAAAACCAACCCCTGTGCTCTGTCCTCCATTTCCTGGCTAGCCAGCCCCTTCTTCCTGTTCTGAAAAGACATAGTTGGGATCCCCATCTGACTGCAGCTCCCCAGGTGCTGGGGACCTCCTGGCAGCATTCAGATCTTTAGGGACAGGAGAGAGTCATCTTCCCTAGGACAAAGCCAAGGGTCCAAACCAGTAGCAATGCTGGGCAAACTCCTCAGTGGGGGCCTTTAGGACTAGGGGCCAGAGACGGTCTGGGAGGCCATGCGGTGCCATCTGTCTGGTGTATAGCAGCCAGCAGCCACAGGAGTTATTCCAGGAGTGTCTTGGCTGTTTCTTCCTGCCCCAAAGCACTGCAGATTCTACCAGACTCCACCCTGTCTGCCTCAGGCCCTTTCCAGGGCTGCTCCCAAAAGGATTTAGGGTAGCCCTGAGTCTCCCTTAAGTCTGGTCCTAATTGTTAATGCCCTAGGTCTCAAGACTTCCTACCTCTCTCATCTTGTGGGCAGCTGAAGGAGTTACTTCCTGCCTTAGTCCCCGACAGCAGTAATAATAATAATAATAATAATAATAATAATAATAAATAAAATTCTGATTGTACACCCAAGACATGCCAAGCAGTATACCTATGTTTCTTGCACATCATTTCATTTCATGAGGGTGCCAGCACAGACCTGAAACCCCTTTATCGATATGGGGATGCCCTTACCCCTGTCCCTAGTCTTCCTGCCACCCCACTCAGGAGCTCCTGGGAGCTCACCCTTACCCGTAAGGACAGGGTGTCTTTGCACTGCAAGCTGATGCCACACTCATCAGTGATCTCCGAGAGGTCTTCATCCTCAAACTCCTCCAGGCTGATGTCGTGGGTGAGCCTGGTGGGGACAGGAAGCCAAAGTTACAACTCAGGGGCACTGCTATGCCCGCTCACATCTCCCTGTTACCTCTTTCAGGGGGCAGCCTCTTGAAGGCCGAACACAGCCCCCAGAGGACAGGATTTGGGGTCCATCTGTGTCAATGCAGGGGGTAGTCAGCAGGCAGGGAAAGAGCATGGGGCTCGGGCCAAAAGGCAATCCTCCTAGGGTGGCAGCGGAAGAGGAGGCTCTGGGTTACTCCAGCTCCTCCCTGGGAGTTGTCATTCTGTTGCCAACCAGCAGGCAGTGCTTAGAAGGCCTAACTGGTCAGAGCCTCCTCCCAGGGTCAAGGCAGGTGCCAAGGCCAGTTCACCATGGAGAATCCATGGAGTTGAGAAGAGCAGCAAGCCTGGAGTAGGAGAGCTCCCAGTGCAATCTCTGCAGTAGCAAGACCCGAGGCGCTGGCAGCAGCCTCAAAGGAGGGCCCCACGCCCCAGCTCAGGAAGACTCATGCCCCTTGAGCCCAGGGAACAAGCGAAGGAAAATCTGGTGTGGGTAGTTTCAGCCTATTCCAGAAAGGACTATAGCCTCATGCTGTGCACTTGGTGGTCTCATCTCTTCAACCACAAAATCTTCTCCTTTTCCATCGTAAGGACCCTGAACAGGAGGCTGCACACATGGGGTCAGGAAAAGCCCCAGGTGGAATCAGAGGTGTTATAAGCTCAGGAGATAGCTCAGAACACCAGGGCACTAGAACACTAACCAGTTCCACCAGAACCCCCCTCTCCCTAGGCCAGCCCTGAGTCCCCACCTCAGAATGCAGAGCTGGGCCAGCCACTGCAAGGCAGCCTGTCTCTTGCTCACCTCTAGTCCTGGGCACTCTGCCTGGCTTGCTGGAGGGTAGAACATTTGGGAAGTTGGGAAGAATGTATGAGGCTTTTCCCAGATAAGTCCAAGAAATTGAGGCACAGA